ATCGAGCCATTTGGTAGAGAAATTTCGAGATTGGTAATATTTTTTTCGACCTTCCTTCCCCCACAGCCGAGACTTATAAAGGCCGGCGATTTTTCGGGGTGTCTCTTTTTGGTAAAATGTCCTTGTTACACTTTATGCCCATATCCCGGCTGCCCAAATAACCGTTTGATCGTAGCGCCACGGCAAAAAAAACATGGGAAACCTCGTGGAAACATTGTCCAGAGACCGGGTGGGATCATTTTTGCTGGCCGGGATTTGTTTAACCGGGATTGGTGGTGCCGGAAATTGAGAGCTGGGGCATTTGCAAAGTTGTGACCTGCGGGACCGTTTTAGAATTTAACGAGAGCTCACCAAAATTCCGGGTTTATCAAAATGCCGAAAGACATACTACCGAAATCATGATGTCGGCATTTTATTCTCGAAAATCCGAAGTTCGAAATTTCAGAATCTGAGAAAATCATGACGTCGGCATTCCTACTTTTGAAATGCGTCACGTGGAAATTGCAAAATGCTGAAATTCAGAATGTCGAAAATCAGAATGCCGAAAACCTTGATGTAAAAAATCGTACTGTCGAAGTTTCATAATGCCGAAATTTCCGAATTTCGAAATTATAAAATGTCAAAATTTACATACGCATGTTTCTCGGAAAAACCCCCAAATCTCAGGGAAGCACTTTGGCATCCAGGAATTTCGACAGATTGAAATTTCGAAGTTATAGGGTTCGGCCTGATGAGGTTTCGACATTATGAAATTTCGACACCATGATTTTTGCATTCTTCTTTTCTACATTATCTTACCAAATCCCAAAATGCCGACATCCAAAATCCGGAAATCCTGAGTCGTCCCAGGTCAATGTCAACGCAAAAACGCCGATTGCTATAGTTTAATTACTGTATTAGCCTTTTGGCTATTTGAATTGTCGGCATTTCGGCTGTCGGCTTTTTAAATTAATTAATTTTCGCTTTCGTTTACTCACACAAATTAACTAATTTTTCTAAATCTGTCCATATTTTTAAACTTACACAAAGTTAAACAAAAATAAGGCATTTTTCCACGCCCCCGGTAATGCCACAGCACCAAAGCTTACAGGTCCGTGAAGGAGGGCTACGGAATTGTCTAGGAGCTACGAGCTAATTCTTTCATTTTTAACGTAAGCTAGTAAAACTTTTTAACGTAAACGTAAGCTATTCATAATATGGGAGTTGCCGCACCTGTTTAGCCTGCTTTTTGTGAAACCATTAATTTTAATTCAAGAAACAAGGATTTTGATGAGGTATTGCAACTGCGTATCACAACTTTGTCCCTTTAGCTCCTGAGCCTCTGAACGTTAATTTCCGTTTTAGAACACCTATTTTTGACCAGCACTTAAGTTCGGTACGAAAAATTTTTCGAGAATTAGATTTTTATTGAACATTCGATTTTAAAGATCTCAAAAAATATTTAAAAAAATTTAAATAAGTTGTTCGAAAAAGACTGCATGTTTCTATAATTTTATTAAATTTATGTAGCTACTTAAAAAGGTAATTTTTAAGGCCCTTTGACAAAACGGCTTCTAGTCATTAAAAAATTTAGCAATTACCTTGAATTTTCTTTGCTATTTTTGGGAAAATAAAGTTACCAAAGATACTCAAGTTAATAATATTTTTGAAATGACAATAATCACCTATTTTTTTGAAACATTCTCTAATGCTCTTTAAGGATAATATGGCTACCAAATAAACGACCCGTGTTTATTCAAAATCGTACATTACACTCAAAAAACATAACCAGCCAGCGCTTTTTGTACGACACGCCTATAGACACCAGTGATGAGATCAATTCCGGTATGCGTCAAATGACACCCGTTATCGCGGTAGGCCAGCCGAGTCGCCGGGTCGAACGTCCGGATTAGATGCGCGTTTTCGTCTAAAAACATTATTAAGTTTCACGTAAAAAAATATTTTTATAAAAATGGCATGTTTTTGATAGACTTGAATTGATTTTCTTATCAAAAACGTTAGTATTGATCCGAAGGCTTATTTTTAATCGCTTTCAATAGTTTTCATGTCTTTAAATTGTTTCAACTGATTGAAAACCTAATTTCTCTATTGGACAAACAACCATTAAATGAAAACAACTTTTTCTGGATTTTAAGACGTTTCGAAACATCATTTTGCTGCGAATAAAAATTAAATTATTATTTAGACCTCTCCTCAATTTCAAAAATTTTAATAATTGAGCTTTTAAAGTGTATCTGCATGTTTTAGAAGTATTTCTTGCGATGGCCTCCTTGATATCGAAAATTTGCTGATTTAGCTTTAAAAACCGATTCAAATTTTGTAAGTCCTCCAAAGTTTTAAATAAATTCCTCACCAATAAACGGTATCGCCGGATCGATTAAATGACACTTCTGGCACCTCTCCAAAACAGCCCGCAATCTCTGCCGCACCGAAATTGCGTCAAATTGTGTTTTCTGAAAAGGTTTTTCATGAAATGTTCAAAAAATTGGGTTTCAAAAAACGCCACAAGGTCTTTTTGTTGCCCAGTCTTATTACTTAAGTGTCGAATACCCAGTCAAATTTTTAGCCTTATCAAAAATGTGTTTTTTATTTAATTTTTAAATAGAATTCTCTTAGTTTTTAATCGGAGACTTCGTTGTTATAAATGTTATTTTTGTTATAGAAACCTCCTTAGAAATAATTCCAATTTAATTTATCCTCAAAAATGTTCAGGTTAAGCAGCTGAAAATCGTAAACTTTTTAAGTAAAAAGTCGATCAAAAATCACAGCAAGTTCGCTTCTATGGGGTTGTTTTGATTGCCATTTAGGGGATCCCTCTTTTTTAAAAACATGTTTCTTTATTTCTAAGCTTATTAAAAGCCGATAATTTCTTAATGGTTCTTTTCTGGTCGACCAGCAACCTAATGAATTACGACCTTAATACCTTGCAGCTGCGGAATTAAACCAAATTTAAATACGAAGAAATACTCACATTATACGGCTCATTAAACATGTCGACATCCTTGCCGAAATTCAAATGATCCACAAATCGGTTGAGAAAATCGTGCGTCGCATCGCTACAATCAAACGGCTGATGGCCAAGGATGAAGATGTGGTCGGCGAATTTGCTGGAAAAAATATGTTTCATGCTAAAAAATAGCGAAGATGTTATATGCTCATTTAATAAAAAGGTTCTTTAGGATTTCCGGGGAAAGTATTTTCGCTGGGGAAACCAAATTTTTTCGGCCCAAGCCTAAATTTTTTTCTAAATAGCGCATGCGTTTCTAAATGGTTTTTAACTATTCCTGAGCACAAAAACTACCCACATTTTAATTAAAAAATTTAATTTTAGGTCGAAAAATCCTATAGAACCTTTAGGATTAGCGGGGGGGGGGGGGAAAGACCTAAAATGACCAATTTTCGACTTTTTCAAACATTTTTCTAACTTTTTTGCAAGGTTTTTCTACTTTAAATATAGTTAAAATTTACTAAAAACAATGTGAAAACACTTTATATTTGATTACTAGGTCAACCGGGAAAACCAGGAAAAAATTTGGTTCCCCCCAGAAATACTTTCCCCCCCCGGAAATCCTAAAGAACCAATAAAAACACAAACAACTGGTAATAAAATTAATTTTAATAAATTTGATAAAATTAATTATTTATATTTAGGTTATTAACTAATATTAATATTTAGAGATTTTTCAGGGGTTTTTATAGATTTTATCGCATCGATTTACCGCTTTTTTACGCAACACGCGTGCCTTGATCCTTTTCGTGGCGCGTCGCATGTCGCGCTTGCGGCAAAATCTTAAGAATTCCATTGCGAACCGAAATGGACATTCAATTAAGTTAGTGTTCTCGTGATTTCCCTTATTTTGTTTATAACATTTTAATTATACGCTAAACGGCCCAAATACGTGAGTTTTCTTTGAAAAAAATTAACAATCGTCCATCCTAATTTTTGTGCTTATTTGGTCAGCGATACGGCGACATATCAATCAAGATTTACTTTTGGCGAACGTCCAATAATTTTTTAAGTAACATTTTAATTATTTGCTTGCTGTCAGGATACTAAATAGGGGAAAAACGAATGTGTATTTATGACTACAATCAAATTTCGGCAAGGCGGTACCAATTTTTATGAAACATCCATATTCCGTTAACATACCTCAGTCGATCGATACTGTCCATATATTTCTCCAGCAGGTTGTCATTCCCTGGCCTGTACGCATCCAAATCGCCCAACACGTCTACGTATCTAAACTCAATGTTTTAATGCTTAGATTATAAAAATTAGAACACCGGTAACGTGCAATTATTAATCTTTCTGATTATCTATCTGCCTTCTCGGCTTTTGAAACATCACAAAAATGAAGCTTAGGATTGATTTTAGCGAATAAAATTTACTGACGGATTCAGAGAAAATAATTTTAGCAATTAAATTATTACCTGACTGGGCATTACACATAAAAAATAATTTAATGATGATTTTACACACTGAATTGGTCATTAAATAATTAGCATGCGTGAGCTCAAAGAAATCAAATTATTATTCACGTATAGTTTTTAACTGAATGCCTTTAAAAACATGCAGAAAATGAAAAAAAACTGCTTTAACAAATGTAAGGTGAATCAGCTCGGGAAATTCTATCAAAAAATCATAATTCAGATCAAAATAATTAAAAATTATAGTAAAATTCACAGTAGATTCCATAGTAATCTAGAGCAAAAATTCTCACGAAAAGAAGAAAAATCAGAAACTTTAGAGCCATACAATTGTGCGAATTGATTTTTCCTCACGAATCTACAGGGTGGCCGGAAAAAAAAGTGCCTGGTTTGCGTTAAAATATCTCGCTGGGGGAAACGAATCGGACCATCGTTACCATGCCAGAATGCTTAAAGGGCACGTTCAGGGACATTTTTTGGGAAAAAAGCAAAGATTTTTGCCGCGGCCGGGGGTCGAACCCGGGCCCTCCGCTCGGGAGGCGCGGATGGATACCAGTCAGCCACAGCTACAACCTCGCGAGGGGGTGAGGGGCGCCCCACCCCGCCAAGGAGGGGAATGGCCTGTCACAGCACGGGCAGGCAGTGCGCGCGGTCCCTACGTCCATAGGGTGTATACGTTGGACAGAGTATACGGCCCCTCCCTGAACGTGCGCTTTAAATATGCTGGGTATGAAGAATAAACACTACTTACTTTTTACGATTTTTGACGACCCCCTACTCGTTACGAATTTTTGAACATTTTTGAAAAAGTAGAAAACTTTGAAGACGAAAATCATGGAACTTTTAATGAGTTAGGGAGACATGTCGGGTATCAAAATGAAGCTCTTGGGGTGCGCTACCAAACGCATGGTAAAAATTATCCATCGGTTTAACTAGCCGTCAATAGGAGCGTTCGGAAAATTGGCACTTTTCCCCCGAAACGGCGATTCCGAGTTGACCATGAAAGACACATAGCCGCCATAACTTTTTTTATTTGTTAGATGTAATCCTGTTTGCCAATAATAACCATGTTACAATTTCAACTTACGGAGCATAAAACTTACAAATTCCGTCGACTTGGCAAAATGCCAAAAATTTTTTTGATCGGGATTTTGAAACACTTGATGCCAAAACTTAGTAATTACGTATTTATTGCTAAATTCAAAATCTCAGAAAGATCGGATGGTAAAGAAATTTTATCTGGAATTAATTCTTCAAAAAGTGCCAATTTTCCGAACGCTCCTATTGACGGCTAGTTAAACCGATGGATAATTTTTACCATGCGTTTGGTAGCGCACCCCAAGAGCTTCATTTTGATACCCGACATGTCTCCCTAACTCATTAAAAGTTCCATGATTTTCGTCTTCAAAGTTTTCTACTTTTTCAAAAATGTTCAAAAATTCGTAACGAGTAGGGGGTCGTCAAAAATCGTAAAAAGTAAGTAGTGTTTATTCTTCATACCCAGCATATTTAAGCATTCTGGCATGGTAACGATGGTCCGATTCGTTTCCCCCAGCGAGATATTTTAACGCAAACCAGGCACTTTTTTTTCCGGCCACCCTGTAGTCTAGGCCATCATTAATTTTCGATACCTTTGCACGATGAAGACGATTTTCGGTCGCTTCTTTTCCATAAAACGCCAAAACACCTCGGTGCCGCCTAAAAAAGTTATGGACTCAAAGTTACACAACTCAAGTTGATGACCATTTTTGGGATGTTAAATAATATGTTTCAAGAAAAAAACGTATGGGGTTAAGTTTTTGTTTATTTAATGGGATTGTGAAGGTGTTACGCACTATTAGATTTTAACGAACCTACCCTTCAAATAATGCCATATCACACCGCGTGATGGGAAAGTGAACGCGTCCATGCTTGACGTTACATTTTCAGGAAGTAGCTCTCGGACTATCTGCAAAAAATCAAAAAATAAAATACACCGAAATTTTTATAAAGTTTTACAAATACCAATGTTCTAAAATACGGATTAAAACGATATTTTTTAAGCTAGGAATTTACTAAAATCAGTATTTTAGTACTATTGTTCGTTACGTAGTATGTGTTTTTAGGTATTAGGCAAATTAAAAAATAGCATTTACCCAAATTCTAATTATTCGTAGGTAATCGTGGTGAAATTAGAAAGCTAATAGTTCGGTTCAAAACAAATTAATTACACCATTTTATGAAACGTTAATTTTTTAATTCTTGATTTTGTAAATGTTTGCAACATACATGCGCCTGCTGGCTGGCCCACGAATTGCCGACAACAACCACGCTCAGGTTGCCAGTGTTGTTCTGAAATTCATGATTTTTTTAGACTGGAAATATGGTGTTTCATATTTAAAGGGTCAAGCGCGTCCAACTAATATTATCAATGTGACGCTACCCCCTTGGCGCATTAATGGATTACGACACTGGCCAAATTCGCATGCGCGTTGCGTATTGCGTAGCGTGGCGTGATCGTTCAGAAACATACGCGATCCATGAATCTGATTAATAAAATTAATTAATTGGATTTATGATGCGCTCCGCGATTACGCGCATTACGGACATCGTCTTTGAAAGTCAATGTTTCAATTTGTTTTCATATGCCCGTTTAAGAATACTTAGCGAAAAATGTTCATTCGGCGTTTAAAAAATTATGTTTCCTAAAATCCCTTCTTTTACAATGCTGCATCTCTACCAATCCCAACGCTTTGTGTCTTTCTATTTCCGTTTTGGAATTCCACGACAAGGTGCATCATTCAGCGTTTTATTTCTGAGATTTTGGCATCTTAATATTGATGCCAAATTAAAACTGGATATTCGGAATTTTGACATGGCGGGATACGGGAAGAAGCTTTAACAAACTTTGGTCTTCACTTATAAAAATCTAATCGGATTTTACTGACCCATAAAAGCCCGAGGTATCTATTATGATCCTTGAAACACTTCAATTTTAATATTTTGTTAACGATTTTCATTTGCAGAAACCGTGGAAGCTGTTCGGAAATTACGCAAATAATTCTCTGGTTTTGCCCATTGATTTAGTGCGCTTTCTTCTACCTTAACGCTTTCTTAACCCCTTCCAAAATTCGCGCAAACTGGCAATAGCAGTCATTTATGATTCCTAAATATTTTTTTTATTTAATAGTACTATTTAAAACCAAAACTTAATTAGCGGCAGGTTCCAATTTTGTGTGCACCAATGTCGCTTCAAAATCCACATAAAACATCTACAGCGATTAATGAAACAAACAAATTTTTATATTTTAAGAGCTTGCATTTGGGAAAGTTACAAGTAGGCGGGACTTAATAACAACACTACTCCATTTTCTGCCCTTAAATCTAAAATTATAACCGCCTACCAGCCATTCGTAATGTCCAAACGGTGGTGACACCGAGTGTCCATCCAAAAAGCCATCATCCACATAATGGCCGCCCTCCAGTTTATATTTCGTCTCGATGTTTCGTATATTTGTGTTGCTGTCTTCCGGTTGAAATGGATGAGCGGCATTTGGCCAAAATTGGGCGAACAACAGCCCAACGATCAGCGGCAGGAGAATATTTTTGGCGGTGTCAATTGGAGCGGCGCGTAGCTGGGGTTTTTCGAAGACCTCATGGATTATGATGCTCAATAGGAGGGAGAGGGGAAGGGCGACGAGCAACACTAAAATTTTTTAATTTGTTTTAATATGTATGAATTTTATTTTGAATTTTATTTTTTCAAATTTAGTTTGGCTAAAGTAGAATTTGGTTTTATTACATTTAAATTTAAATTTTAGACGAGTGTTAATTAGTTTCAAAAAGGGCATTTTGCCCTGAATCGTGGAAAAAGCGGCAGAGAGATGACTGCGTATAAAACCCGGGCATTCAAATTTGTCCACGATTCCAGGGGAAATAGCCCCTTTAAAAAATTTCCATTTTTTTACCAATTTAAATTCTTTTTAAGCTAAACTTTTCTGAACAGCCAAGTTATAAAAAAAAGCTCAAAGATTCCATTATGGCTTAGAAGTTTAAAATTTATGAAACCGGTCCTCTCAGCCAATTTAAATTAAAAATGGTCAAAAATTATTGCATAACGTATGCTTTAAAATACTAAGTTAGTTATAGAATAAGGGAAAAATAATGTTTCAAAAATTCTGGGGGTCACATCGACAAGAAATACCCCAATTGGATCATTTGTACAAACTTGATTTAGGCTAAAATAAAAAAATGAAATTGAGATTTTAATGGAAGGAGCATCGAAACTCGACTAAATAACTAAAAAAGTTCAAGCCAAAGCAAAAGAAGCTTTTTTCAAGGGAGATCCTACTATAAAACGGGCTAAGGTTTTAAACTAATATTTTTTAAACGCACTTTAGATGAACCAGAGAGGCATAAAATCAAGTTAAATGTGAGCGTTAAGCCAGCGAAAAATTAAATGTTTTAAAGAAAAATTAAAGGTAAAAAACCTAGAGCTTCGGAAGCAGAAATTGCTTTCTTTAGGGGGCGTAATAGATTAAAAACCTAAAAGCTAGCTAAAATTTTGAGAAAAGGGTTTCACCGAGATGGCCTGCTCGGGATATAGCAAAGAAAATAATACGCATCCGACCCGGTTGACCGTGAAAATAACCCACCGGAAGTGCCGGGGAAGAAATACAGCTGCAAATATTCGGCGTACCGCAGCACCGGGTAGTGGATTAAATATAGCGCATACGATATTGCGGCAATATATCCGAGTCGAGCCCTCGACCAATCGATAGTACTGGAAAAAATTAAATTAAGAAAAAGTCGATTTGAATTGAATTCTGAATTTTGCTCTAGACCACATTTGTGAAATTTAAGTAAACTGTTGTTTAATTGTTTAAAAACCACCTCGAATTCCAAACTTTTGAAACTTTTTTCGCTGCTCAAAATTTTGTAACATCACTTTTTAAAAATAGGACTAAACTGGAGCACTAAAATCTACTGGAGCATTAGGATTAGGAAGGATTAGGATCTACTGGGCTAATTAATAATTAATAATTCATTTTAAAGGTTAAAATTTCGGTGCTGGACTGTTACCGGGGGGGGGGCTTAGAGGAAGAAACCGGTTTGTTTTTCTCAGTAATCCCGGACAGCCCTATCACGAAATATAGACCATTTTTATAGCTTCTGACACATTTTTTGCCGTAAAAATCAAATAAAAAAGCCGACATTACACAATGTTGAATTTTTGATAGAAAAATGCATGCATAAAAAGTGAGCGAAAAACGTTTCGATTTCTCAAAATTTTTCATTCTTTATAGCTGGTTAGCATTCAAAAAATATCACAAAAGCTATAAAAATACATTATATATTATTAACGGGTAGATTTATAGATTAACGGGCTAAAAACGCTAGGAAACCGACTGGCGGCTCACAAAATTATCAGGTAAGACAATTTCTAATTTTTAAATTTTTATGAAACACACCTTCCATAAGACGAGGTCCCCAGAAACGCCGCCGCTGCCAGCGTCACCACAATTTTCGCCTCCTTTGCGAAAACTATCAGCTGCCCCCAGGGCAGGAATACGGTACACAGGAAGGGCACGGTGAATACGGAGATCAGCTCGATTTTGGTGGATGCTTTCGAGTCTAAAATATTTTTTTGCGTTTGGTGTACCTTTATAATAGCTATTTTTGAAGACTTCTGGTGGCAGTCAACGGCGAAACCTTATTCTTTAATGTGTTTTTTTTATTGGAATACGAAAATTATGTTTACGTATATTTTTTGGTAAGTCTTCACTTTGCCACTTTATTGTTCCCAGCCGAAAGTTCCTTAAAGTTTATATTTTCAAACCTTTTTTATACAACATTATTTTTGAGCTGTAATTGAAACCCTTAGTATATTTTTATGCTCTATCGAATGGCCGAGCAAAAACACCGACAAAATCGCGGAGGCGTCGAAAATTGGCGGGTTTCAGTAACGTTTATCCATTTTTTTTTAAAACCGCAAAGCTGATTGTGTAAAAATTTTTGATCGAACATTATCATCTCTATTTGTTGATTTATTTTATTGTATTCGAGCTGAAACACTAATTTTCAAAGGGACTGAGGACTAGGAGCTTAAACAATTCGATAAGTTCCAATCTTCATAAAAATTCTTGCGTTTCAGTGAGCAGGTAAGGTGCTGTGCTAGCAAAAACATTAGTAACAGCAACATTTTGGATTCAGTTCATCGACCGAATTCACTACCAACTACCGCCAATTTATATTGCTTAAATTGCATTGAGTGTGAAACATTATTTAATTTAATGGCTAGCATTTTATTTAGAATGAAATGGACTTCAGCATCGGATCTTACTATTATTTAACAATTATTAACTCTAGTAAATTAAAATCATTAACAACATGCAAATTTTTGTGTTTCAATGAATCGTCAAAAGCAAAATTCCAGAAAGTCAATAGTGGGTATTAGCACCGGAGGTAAAAATTCTTTTAGGTTTGATCAAATTCGATGGAACAAAAGTATAAAATTATGCTTGATAGGTTTAAATCTGAATTGGAAAAAAAATTTGTATTTTTGAAGAGCATGGCCTTTTAATAAAGCCAAACTGTATCCGCCAAACGAAAGCATATTACCCGCGCTGTGAGTTTCGGTAAAAAAAAATTATGTTTCAATGAACCGCCCTGTGTTTAACTGATAAAATTGATAATTCACGGCGGCTCATAGCTCCCAAAAATTTCCAGCGTTTCCAAATTTCAATTTCCAATTCTTTTTTTTGGTTTTTAGTTTTCGCTTTTGCTTTGTATCATTCTTTAGCTACTCTAGTTTTTGTCTAGACTCTGTGTAACTGAAATCTATTATTAGACGAGATAATAATAGGTGTGATGAACGATTAAATTAATAAAATCATTTTGAGGTCGCGCAAGTATTTAAATAAAATCATAGCAAAATTATCCAGTTCGCAAACTACATTTCAATTTTCTATCGGGAAAAAATGTGTTTCATTAAATTACCGAGCTAACATTCAAGTATCCATTTTAATGGGACGTTGGTACGGCATCAACCAAATAAAATGTACAACTTTGATTTTTTTAAATCTAAACATAATAATGAAACGATACCTTCGCCATCTCCTTTCGACAAAGCACAGGCCAACATCCCGGCCGCAAATTGCCAAAGCCTCGAAAAGGGAAAGTAGAAGGAATATGCGGCATTGACGAGATAGTCGAAGATTAGGGATGCGAATAGCAGAACGGTCAATGCGTAGAGACCCAAAGGGCCCAGTTCTGAAAAAGAGGCGCGTGAAAAATCTCGACACCCAAAATCCCGACAGCAAAAATGTGATATTTCCAATCGTTTTACCGATAAATTTTAAACTCAGGGGTTTCTGGCTGTCGGGATTTTGATTGTCGGTATTTTGACCAGAATGTCATAATTTTAGCGTTTTCCAGGTTTGAAGGTCCGAAAAATAGCCTTCAATACGAAAATTTTAATTCCGTGAAACCGATTATGACATTTAATCCCCGGACGGCTAAATTTTCATTAAATCCCGTTCATGTACGTTACAAAAAAATGTAATGTACAAAATGTAACCCTTTTCCCCGGGAAATGGTGGATTACTACTGAACGGCCAGCTCAATGGATTCCAATATAAAATTTATTCCTGGCTACTCTTATGGATGAAACATCAAAATTATCTGGCTTGGCCTAACTTGTCTTTGACTATTTTACGTCTACACAGAATGACATAAAGGTATCGACGCAGTGATTCCGATGAATCAAGTTTAAGATCCAGACGAATGATCTTTTGCATTTAATAACTGTGGCGCAAACATCTATTTTAAAAGGTGGCAGCGGCGGCAGACAGCTCATTAAAAAACCACCTCACCACTCGCCATCTTTACTGTTAGAAACATTTTTTCACTGTCGGCAGGGATTTACATTATTTTGATTCTAGAATTTTAAAGTTTTGCGATTATCAAAAGTTTTATTATTTTAAAAATCGGGATTGCGTTTTTAATTTGTTGATTGACCCGAAAACTGTCGAAATTTTTATACCTACTTACTTTGCGTATCTAAATTTTTGAGTGCTAACTGCGTAGATGCTTTAAAAAATGGTCTACATTTCGCTAATATACTTTACGTATAAAGCACGGGAGTTACTAGGAAATATTTGGTTTCCGCGATCATATAAATCCCCCCGCTAACAGTCCAGTCCCGAACTAAATTCGGAAAAATCTTGATTTATTTTTTGCAGTGCATCTCCAAGACAATTTAAGTAGGTTCACCCAAATTCAGAACGTTTTGAAGTTTTTCGTACCTCCGAAAATAGATGTTTCACGGAAAGAACGTATAACTCGTTTTAAAAAAGCCTCAATGTCATAAAGGCCACTAACTCGAGCACCGTACGCTGGCCATAAAATAGATGGCTGGGGCCACCAAATAGAATTGCATCTCGACGGCCAGTGACCAAGCATGTAGAAATGGCATCGCCTCGGTGGCCTGAAAAAAAGATGTGTTTCGTAGATCCATGGTGATTGTATCACTTTATAGGGAAAATCCTCGTCCCGATTTTTTCTTAGATATTTTTGATTTATTCAATAACGTCGCATTAAATAAAATCTTCTCAGTATCGGCGTTGTACAAAAAATGGGCTCTTTCGCATTATCCGGGGTTATTCAACTTTTTGTATAAATTTAGAAATGCGTACTACATTAAAAGGAGGTGTTTTAACGCGTGTTTCATCTCTTTATTAAAATGGTTATTACTTCAACTAGCTTTTCGCAAAAATAAATAAAAATGTTTAAAAGCCGAAATTGTGGTCCAAAGTCGAATGACTAAAAATCCGCGTCGGGTTAGAGGGGTGTTTTATTGGGGCACCCTGTCGCAGCGATTTTGTCGACAGGATACAAACATCATGGAGATTATTAGGAAAATTAACTTTAAGCATTTCTCCGAATTGTCAAAATTTTTTGGAACTCACGGAATTTCTTTCACCGACCCGGAATCAGGAGAACAAAACGACGAGAATAATTTGTTTTGAACCCCGTTGACCTAATTTTTTTTGAAACATACCTCCGCAAAATAGTCACCGTTACTGAACAGCAAATCCACGTTCAGATACATCATTAATGCCTGCCGGAAATGGCCGAGAAAACGTGTCAACCACCCGGCCGAGTAGATGAAGATTGAGGAAAAGCCTGGTATCATAGAATTGGTCAAAGTTTCTTATTTAAATTAACGCTCTAATTTAAAAATCATAATTTCTACTATAAACTACTATGACTGACCAAAAACAATAGATTTAATGGTATTTAAATCCACTTACCAATCGCCAACAACACAAAATAATATAGCGGGCAGATACGCCGCAAACGTTTGTAGTAAAAATTGTATATTTTCATGTAATATGGTGACCGGTCGCTCGCCAAAATACCCATGATTAAATACCCGGAGATCACAAAGAATCTGTAAGAATGTATTTTTGGTGCTTTTGCATTATCGGGGGGGGATCAATTTTTTCCTTATAAACTTTTTTACTAATCCTAAGCGTGCAAGTGTTACAAATTTTGATTTAAAAATGCAGAAAACAAATCGCATTTTTGTACTTAAAAAGGCCGCCTCTGTCAGTTAACGCGGCTGCTTGAAGGTCACGAAATACTCATAACTTAAAGGTGTTGTTGCTCCCATTGAATTGAAACAGTTTATTTTAAGGAGCAAACCCCGTTGAATTTCCCTAAAAGCTATAAAATCACGGACCAGCTTTCTTACAGATACAGATACAGCTTTCTAATAAGTATTACAGTGACAAAAATAAAATTAATTATAACGTCTAAAATTAAAAATTTTGAGCGCTTTTCGGGGCTAGCGGACGTAGCGCCTCGCCTGTTTTTGGCTGTCACGAAATTTTATAAGTGACGGTCTTTTTAAAATAATACAAATACAAGGGCCAAATGAATTGTTTTTAGTTTTTATGAAACGTTTTGATATCTTTTTTAGAAGCAGTTTTCCAAATTTTTTGTCTCTCTAAAGAAAAATTATGTTTTGCCGAAAATATTGGACGGCACAACGCCGTAATCACATAATGCCTCGATGGAAGTCGCTTTTTAGCTTTCGGTTCCCCATATATTTTATCGTAGAGCGTAATCGGCTCGAAAAATTCTATCGAAAAAATATATTTTAGCGTTGGGCTGAGCCAGATCACAGAATATCGCCTTATTAGAAGGTTAAGGCTAGCAATGCCCCAACACAACCAAAGTTTTTTTAAATGTTTCAAATAAAATTAATCAAGGATCCGATTGTTAGTAGGCAATCGTATGTAGGGTATGTTCGAAGTAAATATAGTTTTGTGTCTCTTGATGTCGGGGATTCCAAATTTTACCTTTCTCTCTAGTGTATTTTCTGATCGATCAAAAATTTTAAAAATATTAACGAAAAAATCGTTTAAATCGAAATTTTTAATCGCTTTTTCTTATCAAAACGGTCAAAGACCAAACCGAAAAGGACCTTTTTTGGGCAGATTATTCCGAATCTGCATGCCAAGTGCGAAAACATGTTCAACAACGCCTACCAAAATTCCCAAATATCAAAAAAAGTTCTTTAGCAAAAACCTTCAAAGTTTTGCTTTTGAAATTACAAAAATACTTTTTATCGGTCATAATTAGATGTCGTTCAGAATTCTGGATTTTGTTTGAATTTTCGTTTCTAGACTTTGCGAGCAAGCTCTAATAGGAATACTAAAGCAGCAGCCAAAAAAGTAAGCTCATTACAAAAATAGTTAAAATCTTTTTCAGTTTCGGGTGAAATGTTTCACCGAAACTCCTGGCTGCTATCGTTCCGCCATAACGAATCAGGATCAATTCTATTCACAACGCAATATAATATATAAATAAGATTATCGAATTCCCCGCGGCTTCAAGTGCAAAAAATAACTCACAAGTCGACCCCATAAAATCCAAGCGGGAAATAGCTGGGCGCAAAATGGTAGCCGAGCACGGCAATAATGGCCAGCGCTCGAAGCACAGCGACGTCATGCCGGAATCGTCGCTTAGCAGTAGTTGCAGATTTTTCAGGAATTGTGGAGGAAGAGATTGAACTCGTGGTGGATGGCTTCTCAGTCGTAGAACTCGCCGCTTCGGCGTCTTTTTCTTACAAAATAGTGATTGCAAAATAGGTATAAAAATGTCATCTAAAGCGACCGTTGCCTTATGTTTTGTAAATTCTTAGTTATATCTATTTTATTGGTGGTCATTTTGAAAGAGTCAATTCTTCAAATCCAAAAAAAATAGGTATAGAAAAAATGTTTAAAAAATGTTTCAGGTTCTTTGAAATTTAGTTTGTGCAATAGATACTTGCCATTCTCTCTGTTTCTTGTACCCAAAAATTACCTCACTTAATTGGAGTAGTAACTATTTAATCCAGTTTTTTAAAGGTATGAGGACGGCATAAATCAAACCCCCCCTGGGAGGGGGGGGTTTGATTTCTTGGCTAACGTCCAATTACGACAGGGGTAGAGACGCAGAGGGGGCGGGGCGCGCCGTCCCAAGGGAAAGTGCCCGAGTCACCGATTTTTGTTCAAAGCCAGGTTTCCACGTCTTTTCTATTGTTTTAAAATATTTATTGTGATATTTGCTTGTTAATTTGATAAAATATTGGCACATAATTGTACTTTGATGTTGCGCTCTCGATGACGGTAGGATATTGGCTGCGGTGCTCATGGGATCCCGTGTTCCAGCGGTAATATCTGTTCTCTTTTGTGATTTTTGTTTTTCGTAACGTGATGTCATAATAAATTTTTTATGAATAACGAGCCAATATGTGAACATGCGAGTGATAAAAGTTTTTGGTGCAATTCTGTCTCGTTTTTCTCGTTGGAGCGTTTTTTAGAAAACAGGCGCTTGAATTGGCCAAACCGGTGAACTCGGCTTGCCGCTCACAATGCCACACTGCGTGTCTGTGCTCTGCCTCTTTTCGCGCCCACCCCGACCGCATTATGCCGTCCTCATACCTTTAAAGAAACGGACAAGCCACCGGACCTATGGATTATGCTGTTTCAGAGTTTGGAGATAGAGCTTGGAGATCCATAGCCAACAAAACCCAACGGGAAAAAAGTATGTTTCGCAAAATTTTAAGGCACCGCGGATTTGGGTTTGACAATAATTTGACTAGTGCACCGAAGAAGCGAAAAATTAGATCAAAGCGAATTAAAGTTGAAGGTTTGTTAATTTCACGCCTTCTAAAAAAAATACATTTAAAAACCATCAAAATAAAGCAAAACGAATTTTGGGTGTAGGACTTTGTTTTATATGGAATTAACAAACTGAGGTGCCAGAACTTTTTTAAGCCGAAGTCAAACCGATCCAGCGACTAGAAAAAAAAATTGTTTCAAAAAGTTCTGAAGCAAAATTTCTGACGGAACATTTACTGATTTGGCCTCATTTTTCCTCTCATCCCCTCATTTTTATCGTAAATCGTAATCGAACTCATTAAAATGAATACATAAGTGGAAAATTGAAAACAAATACAAATCTAATTTACGTAATTTACTCGACCTCGTCTAGTTGTATTTATTTTATCTTACCTTTCGACGGGCTCCACAGCTGAAAAATTGGAAAAAATCTGCTCGAATTTGGCTTGGTTGTCATGGATTCTAAACTGACCGCATTAAAATCGAAGGGCAAAAAGGAAGCAGGAATTAGCATGAAACATCAGTATGAGAAAAGCTCGATAATAACGATAGTAACGATGGTTTTACCGGTTAAATTATTTTATTAGGTTAGCGCCATTTATTTTGAACACGCCAATTGTTAGGCAAATTGAAAAAATTCTTTAATCGGAATCAAAATCTTTACTTAAAAAATGCAGTTTAACAATAATAAATTAGTCGTTAAAAATTGTTTTTCGAGATTTTTTGGGGGTATTTTTTAGCTTGGACCACCTAAAGGGACCGACAAGGCAGGACGGTGGATTCGGGGTTAGCGGGCGTAGCCCGCTAACCCCTTTTGGTTTGAGGTACCCCCCATACGACTCTTTTGGGGCCCTTTTCCGGATTTAAAAAAGAACCAAGCATCGGATCGCAAAACTGAATACACGATCGGAACCGGCGACACTTTTTGCATACTATAAGCTTTTAAAATTTGAGAAAAAGTGAAATTTCGAATTTTAACAGCCGATTTAAATTGCGTTTCGAGGGGGGGTCTGCGTTTGTATGTCTGTATGTTTGTCCGCAAAACCTTTGTAGTCGTCAAAAAGTGCCTTCCCACCATCCGTTTGGGCTGAAATTTTGCACACGTATTGGGTGAATGATAATCTCGGACCGCAAGAAGAGTTTTTTTCAAAATAGGCTTTTAAAAAATTTATATTGAATTTTTAAGTTTAAAAGCTAAATTGCGGCCAAAACAAGGGTTAGTGATGTCCGTTTGGGCTGAAATTTTGCTCAAACATGCATTAGACCTTGCCGGAAAAAGTAAAGAAGAAATTGCATCGAAATAATGCTTCTTCTCTGAGATATTATAACTTTAAACCTTCGCCATACGGGGCGCCACCCTCCCCTTTGGCGCCCCCAGTCCTGAGTCAGGGCGGGCGGGTCTAGCTTCCCCAAGACAGGCCTCCAGTCTCCCCGTTGGCCTAGTGGTTAGCACGCTGTACTGGGAAGTCTTGCCCCACGGGTTCGAACCCCACCCGAAACATCCGTTTTGCCGATTGGCCCCCGTGCATCCTTATGGTTTCTAGTGCCGTTACAAAGCGCCGCAGGCAAATTTTTTTGAAGTTTTGCGTACAAGAGTTCATCTGAATAAGTATTCATTGGCTTATTTCACGATCTTAACAATAAGATTGAGGCAAAAAGGGCTAAATTCTCTTTTAAAGTCTTAGAGTCTTTTTAAAAAAGGGCTTTTGGTTTTCGCAAAAAGAGACGAATTCTCGTGGCAACAAAAAGAGCCAAATTCCTTTCAAACTCTTAAAAATGCCACAGAATGTGGGATCAACCAAAAGTTGCTGGCACCTTATTAAAATGGACAGATCTAGTTTCTAGCGGTTTCGGCTTGCAAATAATTTCTGTATTATGATCTATTTACACTTTCTTGAAATTAAACTGTGGGCCTGACCTGTGATCTGGGATGGTACCGAGTTTATTAAGATTTTAAATAGTCAGCAACTTTTTGTTGTTCCCGCATACTGTGGCATTTTTAAGAGTTTGAAAGGAATTTAGC